ACAAAAATATTAATGAACAATAATAGAATGTCATTCATTTAGAAGAATAGATAGATAGGGAGGGGGTGGGGGAGAGAGAGAGGGGGGAAGAAGAGAGAGGGGGAGAGAGAGAAGGAAGGGGAGAGCGGGAGAGAGAGAGAGCGCGAGAGAGAGAGAGAGAGGCGAAAGAGAGAGAGAGAGAGAGAGAGAGAGAGAGAGAGAGAGAGAGAGAGAGAGAGAGAGAGAGAGAGGGGGGGGGAGGGAGAGAGAGAGAGAGAGAGAGAGAGAGAGAGAGAGAAGATGAAGTAGTAAGAGAGGAAATATAAATAAAGTATAAGACAGGGAATGAGAAGGGTTGGGAAAGGGACAACAACACAGTAATGATAATAAATTAATGATAACAATAAGAATAATAAGAATAACAATAATAACAATAACTATAATTATAAGAAGGAGAAGAAGAAAAAAAAAGAAAAAATAAGAATAGGGAAGAGAGAAAAAGGCAAGAACAATAGGACAATGAAATAAGGAAGAAAAAAAAGCAGGAAAAAAGGAGGAAGAACAGGAAGGGAAAGCAGAAAAGGAGAAGAACAGGACGAAGGAGAGCGGTATGCTTCTACAAGGGGCCCTCAGTTCGTGTGTGCATTCACACTGAGTTCCAGTCTGGGTTCTACATATGAATAACATTCCAGGCGTGGCCAGGAAGATCCCCTGGCCTACTCAAGGTCACCTGCCCATGCATGAGCTACCGGACGACTGAAACTAACTTTGAAACGAAAAGCTGGAAGATCGCTGCGGGCAAGAGAAGTAACTGGAAATCGATTTACTTCCTGTGAGTTTTAGCTACCGTTTGTGTATCTGCTTTTTCATCAAACGCAAAGAAATTTCTCCTATACCCTAGGATGGTTATTTAGACTTTTCTTTACTTTTATTACATAAGTTTTGATAAACATTTCTACTTATATATTAAAATGAAACTATGCTTGGTTTGGAAAAAAAAACACTATAACAAAAACACTATATAGAAAAGTACAGAAAAGGAAAGCGAGAATTGTACATTAATATCATACTTTTATAATTGGCAAAAATTACAAAGAAATTATATTAAAGCGATACATAGCATGAAAAATAAGCATGTATTATCGTGAGTCGGATGAATAACCACGATAGTTGACTGTCAAGTGTTAACTGAACACTTAAACCTCCCCTCCCGCGGCATTTCCTAGTAGTTCCACTTCCCCCGCCGCCTCCTAGCTCCGCCCAGTACGATGCCCCCGGGGTTGAAGATGCTGCCCAATGAGCGCGTGAGTTATCCGCACACAAACCACGCCTACATACCGGTTCCCGACTCACCATTGGTTAAAAGGTGTTACCTAGTATTTCTGTCTTGGAATTTTAGATAGTAGGAATTACAGTTTCCATAAGATTTCTTTATATATAGAACTTTTATAAGAAGCAGTAATCTACATATATATAGGAAATGTGTTTAGCAAAATCCATTTAAAGAAAATGGGGAAGACAACTGCGTGATTTGACTTCATGAAGATGGTTCCGAAACAACGATTCGTGTTTGATTTCCAACAACGATCGAGGGCGGTTAACGATTCCGTCAAGACCCCGTTAAACGGAACCACCTTTCCATTTTTTAAATGATATTCTTGCTACATGCATTATTTGCAAGGATGTTTATATTGACGGACAGTCGCCGAGAACGTTCGCCCAAGGCAGTTTTAGTCTGAACAATAGTGGATACAACTTAGAAGTTACTGTAGTCGTGGTGCCTCTTCTTCTCCGTGGCGGAGGCCTCAGCTGACCCTGATCAAGTGGGAAGGTGAGGAGGAAAGGCAGCATCATCTCAGTTGTGCGCTCGAAGGCGGTGTGAGCGTACGTCGTTCCTGCGGGTCCTTCGCGACCTGCTCGTTGCTACGCTTAGCGGACATTGTCGCCTACAAGGTTTGATTCTGAAAACCTACAAGACTGTGCTGGTGTGTTTACTTGGTATTCCGAATATTTGTTTTATCGTTTTTTGTCGAATGTGTAGACAATTACCCTGGATGGTGGATTTTTGAAGAGTTGTGGATAATTCGCAAATTTTCCAAAGGTCGAAGGAAAGAAACTGACTTTTATTCCGAACTGGAATTGCCGAGTGCCTTTACACTGGACAACGAAACAGCAGACATTACACACCCCAAACCCTGCACCAACAGAGCACATCACACCCCAAGCTATCACACCCTGCAGCTACCACACCCACTAGCCGAAGGACCGTCATCGCCCCCGGCCGAAGGAATTACTGGAAGATGCGCTGAGGACCGCGTGACTCCTGGATTGGTCGGTCCCAGCTGCTGGAAACGCCAAGAGGATTTTGCTGCTTTGCATTGTAAGGAAGCATCTTGTAAGAGGATTAGACGTGTTATGGATTGGTCAAGAGGAGATCAAATTTGCTGAGTTATCTCCCACGCTGACAGAGGACCCTCGCTGCTGTCACGCCGTCCCGAGCCTCTTCTCTCCTGTCATACAA